TCGTTTGCCATCTAGGTGTTCTTTTATACGGATACACAAAGGTCTGCCCGTTTCGCCAATATATTCATCTCCGCAATTAATACAAGAGATCAGGTATATCGTACCTGAACTCATACAATCACCGTCCCTGCCGTAAGGGCAAATTACTCAATTTGTTGTTTCACACAGACGGTCATACAGGCGATTACGAACTAATTGACGACGTAGGGCAGCCGGTGGTATTTCAACTATCGCTACCGATTCCTCTAGACCTCCCCTTCTTAAGCATCGTTTTATAACTACGCTTACTTCATCGCTTATAAAAGGCAACATAAACGGGACTTTCTTTTGGCCAAGCGTTTCGCGTGTGCGCGTCGCTCTCCTAAACTTATCTCGTGGAGTTACAGTCATCAACCATATGCGACTATAATCAACTGTTCTAAACTTCCTCATTGGAAGTCACGTAAAAAGCGGCTCTGAAGAAAGCGATACTGCCGAAACGTCAGCTAGTGTTGTATTGTATTGTGTTTTTCTATGGAAGTAAATGTATGCTGTTTAAAAACCTCGCGAGTGCTGAACAAGAAAACGACGCATTCATATTCCATTGCCGAGGTTAATAGAAAGTCGATCTTGGGAACTATTACCTGGTTTCAATATTCACCGTTTTCCCTCTGTGCCTTTTGTGAGTTTGGTGAATTGCTCTGTAACAGTTCCAGTTCACGATCTAGCTGTTGTTCTTCCAAAGAGATCACAAAACAGTTTCACTACTATATGCGCCACCACTCGGTTCTTCCAGAGATCGAGTAGATGTTGACCATCCCGCGATCTCTAGCTCTTTCGTTTTCGGAAGGAATCACGCAGTGGAAAGCAGCACAGAAGTGGTCTACGTGAACTTGGCATAACGGCCCCTATTTTTGATCAAATAATGACAATCTTTGTCATCCTATTTGAGCGCTTTCCGGTTGGTCTCACTTCTTGAAATATCTACAACTGAAAAGGTTAAAAAGGTTAATATGGCGATGACTGGGAAAGTGTGGTGGCTTGAGTGGTGAGTGTGTATGTTGGCTGGTGAGATGTGTAGTGCTGGATTGTTTGAGTGTTGGAATGATGAGTTGTATTCCTCTGCCACTAGGGACTTCTATCGTACCACGAACGGCCTAAGACGTGGATAATTAGACCTTTATATATATATATATATATATATAT